GGTCACAGGCCTGGCCTCGTGACTGCCGCCCATCTGCCACCAGGCCGTGGAGTTCCATGAGGACCTGTTCCCAGACACTGCTGGCTGTGTGCCCGCTGCTGACCCCAGCACCTGGTGGGCAGGGAGCGACCAACAGGTGGGGCTGGGGCCCGCCCCTGTCCCCCACCCCTACCCTACTGACCCTCCCGGAGGCTCCTTCCAACCTGGGGCCCGTTTGCCCCTCTACAAGTGCCAGTCTCCCCACAGGTCCAGAAGGTCAGCCTCAACCCAGCCCGCCGGCCCCTCCACAGTTTCACCTCGTGCCTGGTGCCCCCCACGGAACGCCCCCCTGACACTGTGCTGCCCGCGGTGGAGACGCCTGGGAGTGAGGCAGACCCAAGCGTAAGTACCAGGACTGCGCTGCCCCCGGTCCTGCTCCCCTGCCCATGCCACAGCCTGTTCCAGACTGCCACCTTCTCTAGACAGGACCACGGCAAGTAGAGATACAGAACCTAACGGGGTTCTGTGAATTGAGCGGACACTTAGAGAGCACCATGTCTCCCATAAGTATCTTGATTGCCAGCGTCTCGAATCCAGGCAGATCTAACTGTGGGCACACCCTCCCACAGAGCTGGGAGCTGTCCCTAAACCCCGCCCCCTTCCCAGGTCTGTGTCCCCCCAAGTCCTATGGGTTGCAGTTATGCCCCACCCAGTCTGGTGCTTCATGGAAGTGGGGTGGGGATAGGGGGTGGGAGGGCAGTGGTGGCCCTGGAGTCAGGCTAGCTTCCCTCCTGGCCCCCATGCCTCAGGGCCTGCTCACTGACCCCTGACCCTGGTGCTTCTCCCCAGGAGGGCTTCTCCTCCCCTCCCAGCTCGCTGACCTCACCCTCTACGCCCTCCAGCCTGGGGCCCTCGCTCTCCAGCACCAGCGGCATCGGCACCAGCCCCAGTCAGAGGTCGCTGCAGAGCCTGCTGGGTAAGTGTTAGGACAGGGAGCCCCCCACTACTGGAGCTGTCTGCCCGCTCAGCCGTCCACTGTCCCCTCAGCCCTGGCTGCTCCCAGCCCCACCCCAGTCCCCCCCCTCAGGTGGGGGACTTCACACATGGCACTTTCCACTCGCCCACACTTTGTCCTGGGGCTGGAGTGATGCTGCTGAGTCCCATCTGTGAAACAAGGGTGGCCTCTCTGTCCCTGGGGGTCACAGAGGAGCTGGAGTCTCATTCCTAGGTGTCAATCCCAAGCCATTGGACCTCTCCGGATCAGCAGAGGCCCGGGTCTGGCCCATGCCAGGCACTGTCTGGCAGGGAGGGGAGTGGGTAGCCAGGGCTCAGTGCTGGGTGGCCCAGCGTCCTCACATGTGGTTCCATGTGCCCACCACCCACCAGGTCCCAGTTCCAAGTTCCGCCACGCCCAGGGCACCATCATGCACCGAGACAGCCATATCACCAACCTCAAGGGGCTCAACCTTACCACGCCTGGCGAGAGTGATGGCTTCTGTGCCAACCGGCTGCGTGTGGCTGTGCCCCTGCTCAGCAGCGGTGGCCAGGTTGCTGTGCTCGAGGTGAGGGCCCATCCCCACCAGGGCTGAACTTTGGGTCCCCGCAGGCAACAGTGAGGCTAAGGGCACGGGGCACTCCCACCAGTTCGTGGAGCGGAAACTGTTCTCAGTCGCCTGTTACGCCCTGCGGTCCTCCCAGCCGCTCGTGCAGTGGGTGACTGCTGTGCCCTGCGGTCCTCCCAGCGGCTCGG